TGCGAGTTATGTATAAATTGCTGAGTATGCATGAATATATATATATATATATTTTTTTTATTCCAAAATTGTTACATCTCCAAAAAAGAATTAGTTCAGTTCACGATAAAGTGTAATTCTCTGTTCAACATAATGATCACAGTTAAAAAAGAAATGGAAGGTGTCTTCAATAGGGTAGCCACACATACAACGTTGGTCATCAACCAGGTTAACTCAAAATACATTTAGATCGTTTTTCAAAGTGCTAGAACGGTTTCTTCGTTTTGTATGTGCGATGTGTACTTTTTTTATCGCCATAGAAAAAGTAATTGCATGGGTACATGGGGCAAATGTTTGTCTGTAATGACATTTTTAAATGATGAAAAAGAGAAGCTATGTCTAATACTTAAAGTTAACTGATTCCAGAGTCTAATTGTAGAAGGAAAGTGGGACATGTTAGATAACTCTAGTCTGTTGTTAGGCAGGTTGTAGTTTTCGGCGTTTCTAAGATTATATTGAGCATTTTCCACTAGTGGAGGGAGTAGAGTGTTTAGACATTAGGAGTAATATTATGATGAATTTTATAAAATAATTGCAGTTTCCGACGGGACCCCCGGTGGGCTAGGGATTCCGATCCCGTTTCAGTATATATAGATTGTCTACTAGCATAAGAAGGTAAACTGGTGACAATACGTCCTGCCTCTAATTGTAACTTTTCTAACTTATCTGTATCAGTAGCATCGATGAATACTCCCAGATGTTTGTGGTTATCAACAAAGTCTATACTTACATTATTAAAATCAATTTCAATCAGGTTATCTAGTTCTATATTAGAAATAAGTAAAGCCTCTGTTTTTTGCAGGCTAAATTCAACTAACCATTTATCAGCCCTCAATTGAATATTTCTTAAATCATTATTAATTTTTTGTTGGTTTTATCTGCACATAATAGAGAAGTACATCTGCAAAATGTTTGATAAGCTTTCTAAATTATCTGTTATATCACCAATACAAAGTAGGAACAACAACGGACCTAAGACTGAACCCTGAGGTACTCCTGCATTAGTTGTCTTACAGAGGATTTACTGTTTTATTTCATACCACTGACTTAATTCATAAAAAATATCAGCTTGTTAGACGCGAAATGCGAGTAATTCGATGAAAGTTAAAAAAAAATCTGATTTCTACAACTTTCATATCACTGACATTCTATTGTTATATTGTTATTCTGGGAAATGGTATTCTAAATGAGGGAGCCACTTCAAGGTGGCATTTCACTATATAAATAAAAACTTAACATATATTACAACAATAATGAAACAAAGTATTTCAACTTATGTTAATCACTCTAGTTGGCCCGGATGTTAGCGCGCGAGGGGTCTTAATGTGTGAGGAAACCGGGGAATCTGGTGAAAACCCACGTGATCGGGCAGGTGAACCCATACTTTTTCACGTCCGATCGGGGAATCGAACCCCGGCCGCCTTGGTGAAAGACATTCACTGAAATATCCTCCAACTGGTCAACTAAAACTGACAACGCCGGGTTCACCAGGCCCCAGGATCATGAAACGGTCTTAAACTA